TGCAAACCTTCGGGTGTTGTAGGTGTCCATGGGCCGCGGTAATCGCTTAACATAAGGTGAACCGCCTGCTTTTCCAACTTTTCACATCATAATAAACATTAGTTGAAAGTCCTACCTTTTCTTTATAGTCTCTCTTTGAGGAAAAAATAATACCTCGACAGCACATCGTTATTATCATTAAATCGTGTAAGAAACATACGTAGTAAACCTGGTATAACGTTGCAGGGCCACACAACAGTCTACGCAGTAGCAGGACCGGGCAGGTCCGTTGCGGGAAGTACCACGACCTCACAGAAGACCGGCGTGAAGTTATACTTCTGCGTTTCGCCTGGTGAGTCAGGTAGCCGGGACCCACTTTATTAAAAGGTGGCAACGCATCTGCAATCCTACGGGTGTTTCAAATATCCATGGGCGGCGGTTATCACTTACCCTCAACCGCCAGCTCGATTGGCACCTTCTGCCATAAAAAAAACTTGATAGTATTGCTACCGCCTTAGTCGAAGATCGCATCACTTCTAAAGGGTTAAAGTTAAGAGACTTTTTTTTAAAGCAAACATGCGGTTCAACAGTCCAAGTAAGGGTAAGTCGATAGTTTGTTCACCCTTCATTATGTGCCACCGCCCACTGGACCATACGAAATTTTTTACTTTATCACGCTCGATTTTCTGTGTCTCTCAAATTCGAGTCCGCATATTCGTGTAACAGCAAAACCTACTGCGTTTCCCCTGCCGGATGGTTTATTTTTGATACTTTGACCCTCATAGCAGGCGATTAGGTTTAACGATTGATAATCGATATATTCTGCTTTTTAGTCGTGTCTTCATCAGCCCCTGCACCGTGTGAATCATGTTGTTAGTGGTTTGGACTGCGTAAATATTTTTTTTACTAGGAGCCGCTTGCCTGAAATCAACCCTCCTTGCAACAAACACTCTGATCCGGAATAATTATCTGTGAAGCATACAAATACTTATCCCGTCTCGGAACCCGACCCACGACTACCGGCACCGAAGCCAACAGGTTAACAAATGCAATTTCCCTATATACAAAAGTACTCTGTGAACAAATGCCACCGAATTGTAAGAATTAAGTAATAGCGATACTTTCTGTTTTAAATTTATAATAAGGTGTCAAATAATAAGGTGACCGCCACTATCCTTAGATTGTCAGAATAAAAAACTTAATAACATATTTGTAAAGTACGTGTCATTTTATGTTTATTTCCAAAATTAAAACATTATAACATTGCGGCCAAAATTAATCTTCAGGAATTAGAAATACAGTGTTCAAAATAATTGTAAGATTATCCAGATACTCGTATAAATGAATAATTTGATGAGGAGGATAGAACATACTTGAAAGTATTTACTTAGCCATTCAATAAAAACCGGAAGGCATGCCTAAAACGATTCATTCAAATAGATCAGTGTTTCGAGCGATGAGAACAATTTGATCAGACCATCAATTCATCGAGGTTATGTCAGAGGTTGAAGCAATTTAGTTTAACTGAGAAAATTTTAACCGACGTAACGAATATTTCTCATCTTGTATTTTAAATATATTTTTTTATATTAACTAATAGCAAATGAAAGAAATGCCTTGTTTATTTTTATACTCCTTAATACCGTTGTCGTATGATCTTAGTGTGTCAGCTTTTGCCCATATACTGAATAAAGTGCAAAGATGTTGCACATTCCGACGCGTTGATCGTACTTTATGCTTTTTATGTATCCTACCGATTTGACCTTGACCTCTACGACAGCACTACGGTTCAGGGGCTGGTGTAACGATGAGTAAGTTTTCCAAACACTGACGTGGTGGTCAATTGAGGGCTTATTTCTACTTTAAAATATTTTCGTTTGTCACAATGCTTAAGCTTCGTAACATGTCTCCCGTTTCAGAATGTAGCGATGAAGCTTTATAAGGGCTTGTTTAGCCACCTTTATGTATACAGTGGCAGGTACAAAATAGTTTAAAATAATCACAATGAAAGCAGCTCCGAGTTGTTTTCCAACGTATTATTATCGGCTAAAAGTGGAGTCATACCTGTTTTTCAAGTCCTAGAGATATGCTCGACAGAACGTCTCCCACTATTTACTACTTTGTCGGTGGTTTCTTTCACGACGATCGAATACATTCGTGTGGAGGTTAATAGCTTCTGCGTTCTTCGTATACGAAATGGTTATTACGAATGTATACGACGAAATTTCATTCGGTGAAGAGGTTAGCGCGACAGATAAACAAAAATTACAGAGGAAATAGTATGTTTAAATGGTAGAATGTATTAGAAATACTTGTCAGTCATTGCACCGAATCATAGGTGCGCTTCGAGCGCGTTTCCCTGTCACCTAGCCTGTTCTTACCTGGGAATCACTTCGGACATGGTTAAGATTGTTCACCACTACTCCGTTTTCGGATGCCATAGGATCCATGGCGGAAGGTTCATCATACACGTACACTTTGTTGTTTCTTACGCGGCGCACATAGTTCGACAGTCGCACGAGGGATTTTCGCCACTATAACTAACGGAACTGGACACAGAATGCTGTAAGCACACCCCTCAAGTTGCTAAAGTAGCTGAGCCTGGTCGACCGTTTCACAGCACTAAGGGCACAGAGCTTTATGTATGCTTATTTCAGTTCGGGACCGCAGTTGGAGCTTCAAGCGGCCATTGTGTACGCACCGACGTCTAGTCGAACCTAACTAAGGACGCCAGGCGGCGAAAAGTTAACCGTGCGTGATTTCTTGCCGCTTTCAAAAGCGAATGGTCATATAAGCTATCAATCTTTGCATACCAGTGTGGTGCGGTGAAACGGATGCTGCCGCGGCGGCGCTTCCGTCGCGGGAGCGAAAGGGACGGGTGGAGGGCAGGTAGACCGTCGTGAAGTAAGCGGAAAGTGTCTACAGGTTTTGCTCTCCCACTACAAGCCGCGGCGCGGTCTCGACTCACGGTGAGCCTCCGAGCTTGAAAGTCGACTTTTATTTACAACTAGAGGCTGCGCGGACGCCGCCTGAATAGAACCCATTCAATATGAATGTTCGAATCAATTTAAGTTACCGAATGTACTAAATATACTACATTTGAGCAAATATACTAACTAACAATATCGCGAATCATAAAAATAGTTTACTAGTTTACTAGTTTCATTAATGAAAAATATCTCCTTCCTAAACATAACGTACTGGTCTTTGTTTACGTTGTCAACGTGTTTACTTAAATTACACAAACATCAAAATAGATAAATTATAGACTTGAAGGTATTTTACGTTACAATTTTATGAATAAAAAACGTATTTTGAGTCCGAATGCATCCTTTGAAGGTCGCGTGAGCTAGCCCAAGGGAGTCAAGGGACACTCCTGCGCTTGGACCCACGCACACTAATAAATGAAACTAAACGCACACTAGCACACACTATGTTAGTGCACCGCGCACACTTGCAGGATAGGGATTATTCTTACCTGCTCTTCATGCTCCTATATAATTGGCCATTTTTTATTCAGCCCACTTCTATTAATACGGTGCAGGATAGACAGTTGTCATCGCTCGTGGCTTGACAATAATAAAAGTCAATTCTATAAACATGGTGCATAGATGTTGTTTCACGTAGCATGACAATAATAAATTCACATCATCCAGTTTACATCACAGATTATTAGGATTAAGGTAACAGAATATTATGGTTCGATAAGAGTCAAATTGCAAACTAAATTGTCCGGAATGTTGTTGCAAACTATGATTCAGTTTACAGATAAATGTGTATTAAAGGTAAAGACAGCTTATAAATTTATTTTCAAGCTGCACTATCGAAGGAGGTCGGATGCGGTAGCGTAATTTAAAAAAAAAAGTGACATATGTAGATTTCCCGTAATGTCATGGGTCGACAGGAGTTCCTTTTCATCGTGGCAGTGTCGGCAACTTTGACCTGCGCTGCGACAGTTTTCGAGAAAATGGGCCGAGGTCGACGATGGCCTTAGTGGGTAAAGTACGTGATAAAGTTTTAACGATCCCTAATGGTCTTTAATCGCATTTATAGCGTGAATGTGAAAGTTCCGTTTCACCCTTAATTCGTCAACGGTAGGACAGGTTTTAAAATTTGGAATGGCGGTAGCTTACTCAGGGGAATAAAATAGGATTGTCTACATATTTGATCCACGCACAGGTGAAATCGTATCTTTAAGCTTGAAAATAAATGAATAAATTATACTTCAGATAAGATTTTTACGTAGAGAAGTCGTATCTGACATTTCTGCTCGGTAAGACAGCACCCTAATTTTTTAAACATTACGTTAATGAGTTGGATTAACCGCTGGATGGCCACCCCATTTATTGTTAACTAGATTTTCGGCCGCGGCTTCACGCGCGTTGAAGCCCTTAAATAAACATTTTTTTTTAATAAAAATGTCCTTTTTGATACCTCTAAGAATACAAGTATTCATTTACAAAGTTTCATGATGATAATCGATTGAGTACTTTTGGCGTGAAAGCGTAACAAACTTACATTCACATTAAGGTATACGTAATAAATATTATTAGGTATGTGTAGGATTAAGCAAAACCTAACTGAGTATCTTATTATTTTTTTGATTTTAAGCATGGTTACGTTTATTAACAAGAACAAAAATAATCGTATGTACTCGTACCATGTACAAATGTACCTTGGACTGTTAATGTATCTTATGGTAATAGAATAAATTACACTCCATGGTTCGATAATTTACAGGCAGCTCAGAGCTTAAGCCTATTTACTTCGTGGTGGATCGTCGATTTCTGGAATATTATGTTACTATAAATCATGACACAAAAACATTATTGTATTCTCCTTTCAGATGCCAAGTCGACAGTCAAAATATAAAAATGCATTTAATACCAAACCGGGACATACATAACAAAATAAGCACCATAGAACAGTATCTAACCCCTAATTGCACAATACTACTGGTATATCGCAACAAACAGAGCAGTAAAAACTAACCGAAATCGCCGAGTGAAACGAGCGTCGGGATGTTCAACGGGATAAAGCCGACCAGGCTGTGGCACCTGACCAGCCGGAAGTTCCTCAACAAGATGACACAGGAGCGGCAAGAATATTTCAAGCAAAGTTGGAAGCAGCTGGAACAGCCCTATTTCCTGCAGTTCGTCGGCATACACCTGGGGGCGGTGGCGGGGGTCCTGTACTCGCTGGGCTGGTTCGAGAAGCCGGTGTGCCCAGCGAGGCTTAAGAAGGAGGAAGGAGAGATGGAAGAGGCGGCCGCCGACCAGGCATGCGACCCGGAGAAAGTACTGAAGAAGTGCTCGCAACTAGACAAGGAAGAAAGGCCCTGTAAAAAATGATTGATTGAGTTGATTAAACAATTGGGAACTGAATTTCGCTTGTTTCATTTTCAACCGACTTCAAAAAGGAAGAAGGTGCTGAATTCGGTTGTTTTTTATGTCTGTTAACTCGGAAATACGTCATTAACGTACCGATTTTAAAAATTATTATTGCTTTAAGTTCAATTTAGCTCTTTGGTCCCATGTTAATTTCATTGGTATTCCAACTTGCATTTATAGCTCTAAGCTTTTGTATTTTACAATTAAAAGAGAGGCCATTCTTTCAAAAGGTAAATAATAATAACTCCTCAAGCCATAAAAATTGTTCTTTTTCATGCATCGAAAGTATAATATAAACTATTAAGTTTATTTATAAACTATAAATAAACTTAATAGTTTATTATTTTAGCCTTAAATTAAACCAAGTGTAGTGGAGTCCAAAATCGGTTACAAGAACTAAAATTTTTGATGCAATTTTTATGAATAAAGTTTCTTTTGTACGATTGCCCCTGAAAACTATTCGTAGGTTGGCACTAAAGTGCCTACTAAATACATCCAAGGGGGATGTATTATCAAATTCCTTAGGACTGCAACACACAGATTTCAATTTGATTAAATTGATATTGTTCAGAATTACTTTGCGACGGTTTTCACTAACATGGAAATAACTGACGAAATACAATTGAGCTCGCACAACCATTTGTTGATAAAACAAACTATTGTGCCAAGTGGGGATCGAACACGGACCTGTGGTAGGGCCACGCAACAGTGTTCGCTGTTGCACGAATGGGCAGGTCCATCCGGGTTAGTACCACGACCTCACAGAAGACCGGCGTAAAGTAAAAGTGTTACACTTCTACGTTTCGTCTGGTGAGTGAGGTAGCCGGGGCCCGCTTTATTAAAAGGTGACAACGCATCTGCAACCCTAAGAGTATTGAAAATGTCTATGGGCGGTAGTTATCACTTAACATCAGGTGAATCGCTAGCTCGTTTGCCTCTATATCGCATAAAAACCAGCTGACGGTGATTGCGGCATTGTATAGTCCGCGCAATCAAGAATTTTACAAATGAAATCGATATCCTAAACTACGAAAAGTTGTCAAACGAGCAGACGGTTCACCTGATGTTAAGTGAATACCGCCGCCCATGGACATCTGCTACACTCGAGGGTTACAGATGCGTTGACAACCTTAAACTACAATAGGGTCATGCAACAATAGCCACTAATGAGCAGGCTCGGGGAAGTCTACGTCACAGAAGACCAACATGTCATCATCATCATCATCATTTCAACCTGTTTGTGTCAACTGTTGAACATAGGCCTCCCCATAGACTGCCACGAAGTACGGTGCTGAGCCACCTGCATGCATCGACTGCCCGCACATTTGCACAGGCAATTCCATCTCGTCATTCCATCTAGTGGGCGGTCGTTGTAGTACGTGTCGATGACCAACATGTACCAGAGACTAATAGTGAAGAATTATACTTTTGCGTTTCGTCTAGTAAGTGAGGTGACCTGGGTCTAAGTGGGCTTTTTAATGTTTAGCAACGAAATATGTTGTTGTTGAGTCCACGGGGAACAAAGACTTAACATCAGGTGAACCGCTCACTCGTTTGTCAACTTTTCACATAGAAAAAAGAACACTAGTTTAGCGCTATTGACATATGTATTGGTAACGGCTGTTAGATATTATCCGTTATAAGGCGTCGCCTTCTAGTTTACGAAAAATCTTTTAAAAAACACAATACAATGTAAATTCAATTAAGCTTATTTATATGATGTACAAATGTCAAATTTAATTAAAATCGGTATGTTATGATTTGTTCACCGGCGTGTTTCACGAGGAAGAGATTCATCAAAATGATACAAATATTAAAGGCACTGGTCGTTTCTGTGACAGTGGTGGCTGCCTATCATTATTACGTAAACGAGAAATAAATAAGGCCCACAGAGAATAAAAACAAAAAGCATCGTAACAGAACAAACCGTTATCATATTGTTTGTCATCAATGTCATTCTGTGGAAAGTTCTAGAGCGAAGTCGGTAAGTTTGTGATCACATGGACTGGTTCAATTTGGGAACTGAAAATGGATATGAAGGATCAGGTGAAGTTAGCGGTTATGGTGATTTCGATGGCGTCGATTTTGCAATATGCGTTCGTCGCGAACAAACAGGACTCCATTGCACCGTTGCCGATTAAGGAAAGGATGCATCCAGATGAAACTTCTAACAAGAGTGACGCTCATGTCCTCCAACACTAAAGCTCTACGAACGCCGATAGCTAAAATTAGGTAGTATAATAAACTTCATGCGCCAAGTTTATTCTTACGTGTCTTTTCTTTGATTTTCCACATGAATAAGTTTTAATACCTATATGGGATTTGTAATGCTTTAATCAATGGATGTGTTGTGATACATGTGGCTAGCTTTCATTTCATTAGTTTTAAAATCTGAATAACATTGCTTCTTGTAGTATTTACCTACGTAGTTAACCTAGCTTTGAAATGAAAGATAGTGAAGAGACTGTTTTTTTTTAGAAATAAATCCACGTGTCAGTTAACGCTTTATTTTTTACTTTACCAAGAAATAAATATGAGTAACGAGTACATAGTTTTAGGTATTTCTCTTAATTAGGACGGCGACTGCATGCCACAGTAAGAATAATTATTATAGTTAAGAAAATGTTTTATTTGAAATTATATGTTTTAGATAAAACTAAGTTGATCCAGATGTCAATCTAGAGGTAATAAATAATATCCTTAAAACTTGCATAGTGAAAAACTGATAAATTGAGAAATCTTTGTTTCCACTGTCAATTTTCCACTGTTTCGACTTGAAATTTCACTTCTTAATTTGCTAGTAATAATTTTTGGAAACAATGAAAATAGTTAAAACGCACCTTCATTTTAAAGATTATTATTTTAAGCCTTCCCAAAACGATGTAGTAAACTAGGCACATTAGTAGTGTTAAATATCTACTCGAAATTAAAAGTAATTTCCATACCCTTTTACGCCTCTTGCGCCCGGGAAAAGTGTTAGGAGGCTGTGGTGGGGGCGGTATGTGGTAAAAGTAGGGCGGAGTGAAGAAGTCTTCGATTCCAGGGGCCACATGCGGCCCCCTCAGAGCTGCCATAGACCTCACCGTACCGTATACGTTACGATTGCGTCCTTGATTTGAATACATGTTCATCATCGCACTATATTAGATTTAGTAAGGCACATACACTTTTAACTGTCACTAGAAGCGCGCGAAAATCGAAACTAAAGCCAGCACAGATAACATATGTTTGTTTTACTTAACTCGTTATACGGAAGTAAGATTTATTTTCAATTAAAAATAATCCACTTTAGTGTACTTTGCAAAAGAGGTTTCTAATGGATAAATATTATTATAAATATTTTAATCCCTAGCAACCTATTGTGCGAGTTAATACTTTAGCAAAACAATTGGGACCCGTGCGTGCGATCAGAGATATTGTCACTAAATGAAATGTCTGTTGTAATGCAGATAAAAATGATGTGCGCGCTCCATCTAATTATCATAGTTTATCTGCTTTTCCCAATAGGCTACGTGGAGCGAGACGTATCGACATAGTTTTATGTTTGTAAATGAGAGAAAAACATGCGCAAACGCATTGGCGCGCGACGATACACTTCGATAACTTTGAAAAGTTGTCATTTTTCAACTTTTAATAAGGCGATAATGAAATATGAAAATTTTTTGCTATAAATTATAACTTTCCTTTAACCTTAAAAATAAGGGTAAATAAATAAATATACATATATACGACTATATACGAAAAATATTAATACGACGATACATCTTAATTATATAAATATACGATATTTGCCGCCAAATTTCAGTGCGTTGTTGCAACTAATAAAAACTAAAAAATAACAACGGTAGGTACTTTTCTATCTAAATTCATCAATCCTCGATAAAAAAAGGCTTCAATATTGTATTAACGATCTCGAAAAAAATCTTTATACTAAAGTTAAATGGTATTATGCTCTTAAATAACAATAATGTTATTTATTTAGTTCAACTTTGAAAAGTATTTAAAACGCCACCTGTTGTTTAACAAACTAAAACATTACAAGTGATAAACTGACAACATTCGTCTGGACTCTAATTTAATTGAGTTAGTTCGAACATAACTAGATGGCGCTTATACGAACTAGTCAAACAATTATTCACTTTTTCAATTTTGTGTAAAAAAAATTGTGTCGATAAATGTACACAAAATATATCGGAAATTATTTTTTGCGTGCTAAAATTGCGTGTTAAAATTTGTTGGACATATAACCAGCATTCCGTATGGCAACATTTTCTGACGCAAAATGTAGCGTCAAATCCCGTCAATCGTATTGATAAAATGGCCAATTGAAATTACAGACTTAAAATAAGCCTCCTAAAATGCTCCTAGAATTAAAGCTGCCGGTCGTGCTTCCAACATAGTTCTTTATTTCATCGCGATGGCGTCGGGTAATTTCGCAAAATTGTTCATTAAGTTGATATGCAACAAAGTTTATTGCGCCGGCGGCAGGGACAACGGTTTCGGAAACAATTACGTTTGGGCCGGTTCCCTTGAATCGGGAATACAGATAGCGACGAACCACAAAAAGCCAGCGATGGTCATCATCCATAAATCCTGGTGCAAAGCCTGCAAGAATCTGAAGCCGAAGTTTGCGAGCTCGCCCGAGATTCAGGATTTGAGCAAACACTTTGTCATGGTGAACCTGATCGATGACGAAGAGCCTGAAGGCAACACTTTCTCTCCCGACGGATCGTACATACCCAGGTATTATAACATCATCGTAATAAACAAAGTTTTCAATTTTGTAGGGAACTAACATCATAGCTCAGTATTACCTATATTCATAAATGTATATTGGCTAAAATTAACGTTATTATTGAAATCGACGAAAAGTAAATCTACCTTTTTGACACGCGACGGGAACGTTACTGGGATTTGAATTTTCTACCATAAATATATCGTGGGCGTAGAAGGAAAACCCGCTAAGTCCAAAATTCGTCATTTGGAGATAAATGGGTTTGAAAATTCAATAAGTCGTGAAAAATCGCATTATTCCTTTGGGACTAAGCTGAATGACTTAGCCTGAAATATGGACAACGATTTTTATTAATGGAGACCCTGTACTCTACTGCAGAACCCCCCAAACATTATGTGGACGCAAAGAACGCATTTTTAGCCAAAAATGGACTTAGCGGGTTTTCCTTCTACGCCCACGATATACATATTACCAGATTCAAAAATATTAACTCAAAACTAAATACGTATTTCAGGTCATAACGTCTGTTATCTAATCCAAAATTTGATAGCCTGTATAACTATGGTGATACTGATAAACATACTTTTAAACTTGTTTTTCTTTCTAAACACATATTATTGACATATAAACACTGTGAAACCAGAAAAACACACAAAACACAAATTGTTTCATTAATATTTTTCCAATATTCGGAACCGAATCCACACCTCCTGACGCAAGAAACAGGGTCACCGTGTACTTCACCTATCGGGTCGTCGAACGAAATACTTAAACCATGCGATCTGGTTGCATAAACGACAAGGAATATTGACTTTATAGTGAGAAGGTGGCAAGCGAACTTGCAGTTCACCTGATGCTAAGTGATAACCGCCGCCAATTGATATTTGAAAAACCTGTAGGGTTGGCGATAATAAATTGGGCGCCGGCTACCACACTCACCAGACGAATCGTGGGAGTGTAACAATTCCACTTGAAGCCGGTCTTCTGTGAGGTCGTGGTACTTCCCCGGACGGACCTGGTTCCCCGGACCTTAATGATTAAAATTAAAACGCGGAGAACGCAGATTCAAATTCACGCAGTGGCGAAACTTTATCTAAGCGCAGAGTGTTAATATCATTTGAACCACCATGATAAAGAAAAAAAGTGTGTCGCTCTGTCTCTGTCTATTCCCCCTCCCCAGGAGCGTTGAACGTTTAACGCAATAGTACTTTCATACCCACTCCATGGCAGCGTTAAACATTCAACGCAACCTTGTTGGAAGTCGCATTAGAAGTTTCACTTCAATGAAAATGGCCGACTATCCTCGCAGGATACTGTTCGTGTCGCCGAAAGGCCTGGTGGACCACGAAATATTCAACGAGGACGGCAGCAGCCAGCACAAATTCTTCTACAGCAGACCGGAGCAGATCGCGAAGTCGATGAAGAAGGTAATCGAGAAGTACAACTTGGAGAAGTTCGATGCCTGATCGGTCGTCTTCGAGGGATCGCGGCAGCCAACTACGATGGTGGACAAAATTATTGCGTTCATGAAGACAAATTGCGCCTCTTGATTTTTATCTATATAGAACTAATGATATTAGATTGGCGTCTGTACATTAGTTTTGAAGTGAAAATTTTACCTTGTTGATTTAAACAATAATCTCTATATGTTATTTATCAAAGGTGTTTTTTTTTTGTGTATTCTTCATCAAATTTGATGATACAAACAACACCACTACAATGCATATATTTGCCGTTTTGCTTTCACAAAGTAAAATAAAACTAGGCCGCAAAAAAAAAATCAAAGACCTATTTAAAAATTTTATATATGTTACTGCCATCTAGTTATATGACTGATAACGGTATCTATTGTGCGTTGCAGTAGACCGAAGAAATAAAAACGTAAAGTATGTGTTCTTTTGGGTTTCGTCTGATCACGAAGACCGGAGACGACGCTAAAAGGGCGGCAAGGCGTCTGCAACTGCACGAGTTTTGTTTTCTATGAATACGTTCGCAAGCGAGCAGACGTTTACCTGAAGTTAAGTATACGCCGCGCACGGATATCGACAACACCCGACGTATCGCAGATGCATCGCCAACTGTTTAAAAAGCAGGCCCCGGTAACGAGTACCTCACTACGCGAAAGTATAACACTCCCACTTTACGCCGATCTCCTGCTAGTGTTATATCCGTGTCGAGTCTTCCCGTTTGTCCAACAGCAGAAGGTGCTGCCCAATGATATTATATACAAATAGGAGGTATCTCACTAGCGCACCGAAACTGATGCACACAAATTAGGCGAATTGGTGTAATTACATTGCAACTCTGGACTGCTATCTCTTTCCGTATCATACGTTCTACATCACCTGTCACATTCACTTATATATGTCATATGCAAAGCGCAACAATTTTTAAACACAGCGCAGTATGAACATTCGTCATATATCTAGTTTACAAAGTGTACAAAGTTTGCAAAAATTTTGTACCCCTATTTACAAAAATTGCGCGGACGGAGGGGTGTGAAATTTCCCACACTTATAATTCATATAGAGAAGGAGTGCAGAATGCTAATATTTATTAAATTATTCAATACAAATACATTAAATCAATAAAAAAAAAACATTACACATACTACCTACACTACTATGCATTTGACACACACACGCATATTATACATTCTTTTGTTTATTTTTAAAGTCTGTGTTCAAATTGAGAATAGATAAATATTGTTCAAAGTTACAATTTAAATGAATTATGGCCGAATTTCGACCACTGGGCGACCCTTAGTCTTTATTAAAACATCCCGCCAGATAACACTTCACACACAGTTAGTGCAAAAGCAAGCACAATAGTTCGTCCTCGCCCTCGAGCACGGCGAAACCAATATAACGCGTACACTAGGTACATCCGCGTTCCAGGGCGGTACTCACCGCCCCCAGCTATCGACCTGACCAAACACAGTTAACGGCCATCTGGATCACGGTTCGCACCGAACTTTGTTGGCCCGTAGACGACACTCCTTAGCCCACGCGCGCATGAGCACATGCGCGGCCCTACCCACTGTAGAGGGCCTCAAACCCGTGGGTTCTAGCTAGCCCATCGGTTCGCGTTCGATCAAGCTTTAACAGTCCCGGGACTGAAAGCGTCGACATCAGTTAATACAAGATACAAGTTATTAAATCACCATTGTCCACGTTCGTAGTGGCGTCGTACGAACCGCCCGCTCGTTTTGCACCTTCCTCCGTGTAGAAGTAGTGGGGTAAGCAACAAGTAACAAGCGATACTACTCACGTCCTCGACGACCGGCTCGACGTACATCTCGACGGTGTTGTTGAGCGGCGGCAGCGGCGTCGGCGACGCGGCCGCCGAGGAGCGCCGCGACGCGCTGTTGCACGAGCACTGCGACACGGAGCGACGCGATCGGGGAGATTCTCTGCGCGACAAAACCATCACGTTAAAACTAGGCTTGGGCGTTGGCGGTAATATTTGACATCCAGTTGTTTCCCAGACAACATCAGATGTCGACATCGTTGTTTTCGACAACGTTGTTGACACGACCAAGGCGCCAATCGTGCATCGGTCAATGTCGACGATCAACGAATCACGATCGACAGCATTCAGTAATGTTCGTTCCCAATTCGGATGTCGATTTCGGTGACATCCGTTGTGAGACATTTCACCAATGGATGCCAACAAGAAGTTGTTAGAAAAACGACCATCTCTAGTTACAACGCAGTAGCAAAAGTTGTGTATCTTTATTCCTGCCGCATAGATACACTTGTTGCAGTTCGCTTCGTCTTTCATCATCCGTACAGCTAAGGAATGGCTATAACCTGCCGGCGTCCATCTTTCCGTCCGATTACAACGTAGGCGTCTTCAAGGCAAAAGTGAATGGGTTTTACTGAGCGTTACAACGCAGCATCAATGAAGGTGTGAATGAAGTCGTGAGGATAAGTTCTCATCTTCTTCTTAAGTTTCTCATCTTCTTAAAATGAGAAACTTAAAAGCCGCGTACTCTGATTCGCGATGGTGACGATGGTCGAGGTGATCAAGTTATTATGCTTTGCTCTTATCGATATTTCGCTTAGGCTAGGCTCAACCAAGCTTAACTAGGTTAAGTGAAGCTACTAAGGAAGCTTCCGTAATTTTACGTCCTAGGATAAAAGCGGCTTTCGGAACCGATAAGCTACAATTTACTGTTTCTCGGGAAATACATTTTTATTATCTTTTAGCCTACTCAATCTTCTTGTTTGATGATGTATCCGGAAAAATTATTATTAATCTGTAGATCGTACAAATGACCGAGTGAGAATCGAACCCACAACCTGTCAGCATCAGTGCCATTGACAGTGCAACCGCCATCAAACCACCAACATGAGCTTACTACTGTGGCGGAAATCGACCCGTGTGAAACTAATTTACGATGTACTGGATACAGGCCTAATAAAAGGAAGGAAGCTGTTTCTACACATAATGTAATAAATGAACGGACGGGATGTTTGTTTGCGTGAATATTGAGATGGTAGTTTGGGATCCCCCCCACAAAGATGGTACATTAATGTGTTGTTTAAATAAGTTAATTATTCGTTCTTTCGTAAATGGAAGCGAATTCGTGCGCACGTTTTAGATAACAACAGAAAGTTAGGTAGCACGCGGTAAATATTTACTAGAAGTGTTGTTGTTAAAGTTCCTAATAATCCTTACATCGAATTTTATACTGCGTAAACCTACAAAGTGGATTATTCGAAGTACAGATAGATGAATCAATCTTGGAAAAGTTTTATATAATTAGTATTTTAATGTATTACCAAATTTACTTATCAAGACAAAAATAACAATCAGACGAGGTGTTCGTTGGTTTCTTCCGAATCATAGGAATTGCAAAAGGCTTAGATCGAGATCTTTGCTCCCATCTACCAAGAAGATCCACATATGTAATACGACAGATGAGTTGAAACCACGTTTGATCTTTTTTGCGATGGTTAAGCCAAAATATTGTTCTTATAACTTGGTTACCAATGGAAAATCGATAAGATTTAGAAGTTATGTCGATAAAATTTTATAAAACTTGTCAGGATAATTTTTACACTTTTTTGACATTATTTGAGAATCAGTTAACTCGGGAAACAGAAAATACAACTACGCCCTTCCAATAATAAATGTGATGTAAATGTCTAAATGAGAAAATGAAACTTCAAACTAATCTTTATTTTTTTTTTTTGGTTATGTAGTCGCTGTAACACAAAAACAAGACCTGATAAAATTAAAATAAATATGGTGATCTAATGAGGGAAGATATGTAATTCAAAATTAGTAAGTATCTTTCTTGTTACAAAATTGTGTTACGTCTTCATAACAGTCACCGAAATAAATAGCTAAACTAATGTATTATATTGGAAGCCTATTCATAAAATAGAAAACGATGTCTAATCTGATTTTATCTATTGTAACATTCATTTGAAAAAGATAAACAATGGAAGAACATTTCAATAAACGTGTCAGCTTATGGAAAGAGCCGGACGTCCGTTGTTCATAACACTGCAGTCAGATTAGATCACAAAGCCCACCATTCTGCAGGTCCTCGATTTACTGGCAACGGCTCGTGGTCATGTAGGTCACCAAGGGGACAGTTTGTTTATACCCATCACTACAGAGTATAAAACAAATTCGTTCCGCTGTCCGTCTGTCTACGTATGCTTAGATCTTTAAAACTACGCAACGGATCTTGATGCGGTTTTTTTATTAGATAGAGTGATTCAAGAGGAAGATCTATATGCATAACACATTGCACCAGTGCGAAGCTGGGGCGGGTCGCTAGTTCGGTATAAATAAATCATAGTAAGCATACGTAGTTATTTATGTGCATGTAACAATGGGTGTTTAATCTTTCTTTATCAATTGATGCTAAGCCCATTCAGATTACAAACAAGCATTGAAGACTCTAATGAAAAGAGACCTTTACTTTTTAATAAATATCTAATAGTCGAAAGAAATAAAGAATAGATTTAAAAAACCACTCAGACATCTCGCTTAATTAGTTTATTTCTGAAATTCAGTTAATTAGACTGGACTGGACTGAATTAAGCTGGACTGAAGAGGTGAAGAGCTGAAGCTGGACTTAGGAAAAAAATTAGGTAGATATTTAAGAAGAAAAAAGATTAGGACAAAATGAATCTTGCAATAAAGGAGCGAGTATACGCTTTTCTAAACTAAAAGTAAACATTAATTGACTTTAAAAAACTAAAAGTCACAAAGTACATGCAGTTTATTAATTTTCTGTCGAAGCTTTTAAAGATTATTATAAATGACGTGTCATTGACCCCCAATTGTATAGTTACCGTCTGTTTCTCCGGCACACGTGGTGCGTCACTCGGTCGCACCTGCACCGCACGGGCACGAAGTACCCGAGCTGCGGCAGAGGCCCCGGCTCCGTGGAATCGCTCGAGTCGCTCCATTCCGGCTGGCTGAATGGATCTATGTCCAGTGCCGATGGCATACTTTGTTTTCTTTTTTCAGATTTTATTTTTTTACAACATCAAGTTATCCGGCCTGTTAATTTTTGATGGATTTTTTTCTTCTCTAATTAAGTTTGAATTTCGAATTTCACTTTTTATCCAAACGACACTTGATTTGTTATTATTTTGAAAGAGGCTTAATCGAGCGCACGTCGTGACAACAGCATTGCCGCAATACAATTAACCTCCTTCAAAATTTTCGCGTGTAAACAAACGATAGCGGATAGAATTCGGGTGCGTTTCGGCAATTAGGGACGAATTTTAAACGATAAGTACTCGTTGTTACGATAAGATTGCTCACGATAGTAATAGAAACAATTTGAAATATTATTCGGATTGCGTTGGCTGACCAATATTTAGGACGTTACGTGAAGATTGCAACTTCGAAGCGATATTTTTATATATATTTAGGTATTTGTACGTGGACAACAGCAATTCTGTATGTATATGTTTCTTTTCAGCACTACATATAGTAATTAATTGTAAACATATTATTACCATTTAATCAATATGAAATTTTATATATTTACTCTCAGTCTTGTACTCCTTTCATAAATATGACGCCTATCGATATGAGCCCAACAACGCGAGCCCAGTGGAAGATTACATTGTCGTTAGAATTAATATATGCGCTGATGTAAGCCAGTTTCACCTTATGCAATCAATGCACAGTCTACCAACGCATAGCGAATTAATCGCCTACCGGGCAACATCATCAAAATGCTAACAGAATCTGGCGTAAGCGGAACATTGATATGCGTCTGTTGAAATCATGTTTCTACCTCGTAAGCAGTTGTCGACTCTAGCTAGAGTCTAGTATCGTGTTCCCTTCGTTTTTTTTTTTTATAATGTGAAAAGTTGCCAAGGGAGCCGACGGTTCATCTGATGTTAAGTGAATACCGCCGCCCATAGACATCTGCCTTAACCCGAGGGTTGCAGATGCGTTGACAATCTTTAGAAATTGGTATTCGACAACTTCACTCACCAGACGAAACGCGAAAGTATTATACTTCCACTTTACGCCGGTCTTCTGTGAGGTCGTAGTACTTACCCGGACGAGCTTGCCCTTTCGTGCAACAAGGCTGCTGCGTGGCCCTACCACCATCGTTTGACGAATGATGTTATAAGTTTCAAGTTTGCCCGCCAATCCGCAGTGGGGCCGTATGGTGGGCTATGCTCTGATACCCTCTGTACAGAGGAGGCCTTTGCACAGCAGTGGGGTCATTCCGCTTCGGGCTCTCGTACGGAACGGACCTCTCTCTAAGACGGAGGGCTACTGCCACCCGAATTAGACGCTACTCGCAACTTCAGTTGCAATTTAAATCTTTGTGCAAGCAGTGCAGTAGTTTAGTGTTAGTGTTGTGCTCGTAGGCAGGTTCCTGTTCTGTAAGTAGAATTCTATACACACTTCTCGCCTCAGAGGCGGCATTGTTTTTATTTAATAACTGTGTGCTTGTTGCGATAGGCGACAGCTAGGTACCCACCCTAGCGCACCTAAAACGCAGGCGGATTAGTTGTTAGTTTTAGGCACATACCTCCCTGCCGCAAGGTGGGGAGGCCTATTTAGTTACTTACACGCCGGCGGGGTGCAAGCCCCAAAAGCTCAAGCGCTCGAAATGGGTTCACTCTTAGAGGAATTCCTTCGCCAACGATGTCCCGAAGTGTGGGCGAACTTTCTCGCGTTCGCGAAAGAAAAATGTTTAGTCGTCGAGTTCGCCAGCGACAGCCCGGCTTCACCGGCAGTCGCCTCGCCGTCATCTCCGGCGCCCACTGCGGCCGCTAATGCGTCGCCTTCAGCGACACAAGAAATGCCCGTCGCGTCGACCTCCGCCGCCGCGATCGTACCCATCGAGCTTTCCGTGCATCCCATCTCGGCCCCCTTCCGCGCCGTCGTTCCTGACTCACAATCGGACGGCGGATCAGACATGGAGGTCGAAACGACCCTTGCTGAAAACGCGAACGTCGACGGCTTCACCGTCGTTAAGTCGCGTAAGAAGGGCAAAAAACGCCCCGCTGCCGACAGCGACCCCGAATGCGAGGCCGCTTCAACAAACCAACCCACCGCGACGCCCGCCAAAAAGGCGGCCGCGGCGGCTAAACTGATGCCCGAATTCGCCTCCGAGCGAAAAATAAAGCCTCCTCCACCCATCATCATTCCGGATAAGGCTAAGTGGCACCAAATTTGTTCGTGGTTTGAACGCCACAATATCCGCGACCCCCGGTCGAAAAATACACAAATGGGTATTCGCATATACCTTGACACAACGGATGATTTCCGCCGCGTAACGAAATACTTGCGCGAAAACAAGATAGGTTTTCACACCTACTCATTGCCCGAAGAACGCAAGCTTCGGGTAGTTATCAAGGGTGTCCCCAAAGAGTCGGATGTCGACAAGGCGAAAACCGACATCCGCACTCAGGGATGCCGTCCGACGCCTCAGACACCCTAGAACCCGTGTCCCTATGGACATGGTGATGGTTGAACTTGACCCTACCCCGGAAGGTAAGGCCATCTTCAACCTGAAGAGGGTCTGTGGGCTCAGCGACCTCGTGATCGAGCCCCCGCGGAGATCGGGAGTTGTGGCGCAGTGCCACAACTGCCAACACTATGGCCACACGGCTAATAATTGTTTCGCTCACCCTAGGTGCGTCAAATGCACCGGTGACAACGGCACGCCCGATTGTACGCGGCCAAAAGATTGCGCAGATCCACCGCACTGCGTTAATTGTCATACCACCGGCCACCCGGCTAGTTACAGGGGCTGCGCTAAGGCCCCAAAAACTCCCGCGAGAAAAGCTCCCGCGAAATCTACTTTGCCCAAACCCGCGCCCGTGAAATACGTTCCCGCGCCCGTACCCGTCGAAAACGCCTGGGTGAAACCCCAGGTGGCCACGCAGGTAGTTGCGCCTCCGGTCGCCTCACGACCAATCGCTCAATCGCAGCCCGCCTATCAAACGGCGCCGACGCAAGAACAGACAAGAACTCGCCGTATTGTCCGCTAAAATAGCGGCCGCCACATCTGGCACCGCGCGATTTAAAGCCATTAGCGAACATAAAATGCTTGTAGAAGCCCTCTGGGCATTTACAAGCCAACCATAAACTTAATAGTCCGCGCAATAAAACCGCGCTCCGCCGCGTCGTTAGTTAGAACTCATAAAAAACTTTAATGGGAAGTACAACCGCAGGTAGAACAAAACCTCGGGCTCTGGTTGTTTCGTATTTCAACGCAAACGGCATTAAGGGTCAAAGGGACGAAATCGCAGATTTCCTTCGCGATTATAATGTAGATATTTTTCTAGTGCAAGAGACCTTCTTAAAACCTAGTGTTCGCGATCCCAGAATCGCAAACTACAACATAGTCCGCCACGACCGGTTAGCAAACCGTCTGGGAGGCACATTAATTTATTACAAACGGTCCTTGCACTGTAGCCCGCTCGACATTCCAGAGCTAAGCCATATAGAGGCATCCGCGTGTAGGTTAGCGCTCACCGGCCATAGGCCGCTTGTACTAGTCTCAGCCTACCTCTCGGGGAACAAATCCTTATTACAAAGCGACCTAGATACGCTACTTAACTTAGGTCCTTCCGTGATAATTGCAGGAGATCTAAACTGCAAACACGGCTCATGGGACATTCACAGCATCCCAAATAACAACGGAAAGCATCTCTTTAGCTTATCCGATAATTTAAACTTTAGCATAATTGCTCCTGCAACTCCCACTAGGTATCCTACGGTGGACAACTACCAACACGCGACACCGAGTATCCTAGATATCATGTTATTCAAGGAGGTCTCACTCGACATCGAGTCGATAGAGACAATCCATGAACTAGATTCAGATCACAGGCCCGTCCTGTGTAAACTGGGCCAGAACGCCGGCGCGGTCCCTCCGACCAAATCCGTAGTGGACTGGCATCGTCTTGAGGTCAAACTCAAGGCCTTGGACTCCCAGGACTTAGTCGACCTACCCGAGACGATAGCTACGTTCGATGACGCAAATCGAGCGATAGCAAGTCTCCGAGAAACCATCACTTCCACAGTCGCAGACTCGGAACGGACGGTTAAACTGTCGGGCGACCGACGTTTTAACCTTCCGCCCGACCTGCGACTGCTAATTAGGCAGAAAAATGCAGCCAAACGCGCTTTCGACCGATACCGATCGGTATCGAACCGAACCCTACTTCGACGCCTTCAGCTAGAAGTCAAAGATCGTGTATCGGAACACCGATATACAACGGGACACTCTCCTAGAGGACATCGAGCCATCGCACACCGCCTACTGGCGGTTGGCCCGCAGTCTGAAAGCAGACCCCCGCGAATCTCTACCGCCGTTAGTTCGACCTAATAGCGCTTCAGTAGCCCTAGATGACTCCGAAAAAGCCGAATGCCTTGCGGACAACCTACAGCAGCAATGTACGCCATCGCGCGAACACATCGATACAGCCCACCTAACGGAGGTGGACCGCGTAATCGAGATTAGGGCTGCGCTTCCACCGGAAGGCGATCCTTTGAATTCAGTGACCCCCGAAGAGGTTCAAGATATTATTAAAAACTTAAAACCCAAATCCGCCCCGGGCCCAGATAATATTAGTAACAAAATTCTTAAAGCTCTCCCTGGGCCGCTTATCTGTTTACTGGCGACCATTTACAATACATTACTCTCCAGTTGCTCCTTTCCGGACGACTGGAAAGAAGCCAGGGTTATCGGCATTCGCAAGCCGAATAAACCAGCCAACCAGCCCTCTAGTTATCGTCCCATCAGCCTCCTCAGTTGCCTGGGGAAGCTCTACGAACGGCTTTTATTAAACAGGCTCAATGAGCACGTGTTTTCCAACGGCCTTCTGCCGGCGGAACAATTCGGCTTTCGAGCTAGACATTCCTGTCCCGATCAACTATTCCGCCTAACGGAACATATCCTGAAAGGCCTAAATCACCCTAAACATATAGGATATAACATATACACCCTAGTACAGGGGCTCT